CATATATAATATATATATATATATATATATATGTATTAATACCAATAGACTTCATCCAAGAATTGTAGATCATCAAAGAGGAAGAAGGAAACATAAGGTAGTGATCTCCGCACACTGGATTATATGACTCTTATGATTATATTATATTGGTGTAAAAAAATATTATAATATTTTGATTAATCTCATATAAACAATTGATAAATTATTTAGTTTATTATATTTTGATAATGATATTTGATATTAGAGTTTTAATAATTAGGCATAGTGAGAGAGCTCATATGTATTATAATAACTTATAAAAATTTGGTTAGTATATAACTATCAATTTCAATTTAAATATTTCGATTGGATCAAATAAAATTAATAAGTTAACTAAGAATAGTGACAAATGCTTTCTCTGTAAAGTTTTCTGTTTGAATCATATGAATCAATATGTGTGAAAAACATATTGAATCATAAGGCAGTGATCTCCACACATTCGATAATCCTAATTGCTTCCTCTGCTTTTTCACACATCTTTTTCAAGCTGCTAAAAAAAGAATTTTTATGTTTTCACATGTTTTTCATTATTTAATGGATAAAATACAATTAACAATCGTGATGAGCCAACAGAAGATGCATTGATGATATGTTTTTTATGTGGAATAGAAAAGAAACATGCATCATTGAATCATACCAATCATCATAAAATGACATGGGGATCTAATGCCACTTTACAACTCGAACAGTAATAGTGGAACCAATAAGGATTTCAACGCTCTGAAAATGACCCTTACCTAAAGGTAAGAAGATATTTTTTTTCCTCCTAATCTCTATCGCATTCATCATCTTGTCTTTTTCTTCGCTTAATATGACTTCCCACTTGATTGCTAGAGGGAAGACTTTCTTAGACACATTCTACGTGTCCTTTTCCGCTTTTGTAGATTCATTCATGATATTTTTTAGATCTCCATATACTTTTCGATGTTTTCTTTCATAATATACATATATATAAACAAAATAAAATTGATCAACAAAAGAAAATCAATGAAACATAATCGATTAGTTATTCTTTTCATAGTGAAGTAAAACATGTGGACTCCCATCATCACTTTCATATTCTATATTAGAGTATTAGTATGATGCTCGATTGATCCGATCTCAAAAAATAAATCATGAAATTAGAATAAAATACTCTAATATTTTTTTTTATCTCTCCTTGCTAGATGCAAACAAAAAGGGATAATCGAATATATATGTATATATATATATGTTTTAGAATTAGTATGTTTTAATATTATTTCTCTATAATTTCTTTAGCTTGTGGGATCATTTAGCCCGAGGAATAACGAAAAGAATTATAGAACGAGAATGGATATATTATTCATTATTCTCACACTTTTGTTGTATCATATTAGCCTTATCACATAAATCTTGCATTACGTGCTACATATCTAAATTAATACAAAGAGAAAGGACACTTTCATGCAACCCAAAACAAGTCTTACAATAACATCTCACCCACGTATGATTCCTTCGATTCCTTCTATCTTATAGATGCGTTAGGTACGTAATGAAATCACATCATGCGTGCTAGTGACATCTAAAGCTAGATTGGCATCTTTCGGCCTTAATACGCGCACTAACCCTTTAATAATCGACGTTGTCTTAGTATTATTAGCCTCTAATTATTGACATGACCTTATAGATAGAGGAGAATTATTCCAAACATTTTTCTAAACCCATGTCGGTAGCAATTAAGGTATGGAAGGATTGGATCCCAATCGATGTAGATGTAAACTCTTCATGTGGTGTAATGTCACCCGACATCCATCGGCATAAGTCCTCGAGGGAATGATTCCTTCACTATGATTGTATGTGCGAATATGATGTGTTCGAACACTTTGGATTGGATTTTGTGAATCTTATATGAGGGATAGAGCAAATGATGTCTAATTAGGATTTGACTTCGATAGATTTGAATAAGATATGGCTACCTACTCGGATTGAGCTAAAGTTAGGTTAGCTAAATGATTAGTGAAGTTTTCAGATCTAATCTATTGCAATTCCTATTTAGATCAATCGAGAAGGTGTTCATCTGTGGAGTCCAATTATGTGATCATAATTGGTGTGTTGTTTTTTACTTATCAATAGGCATATAAAATATTGATTTGGTAGCGTAATAGAACCCTTCAACAAATATTAAAAAATAATAAATTTTAATAAATATAATTATCAGCATTATTTAGAACGTGATGCTTATTAGTCTCTTAAAATATAATATGACTCGATTATTAAAAAATCTTAGTGCTCGTACAAAGTTAGAAAAAGCCTATCGTCTCTAAATTTTAAAATTTTTATTTTATTTTTTAAAATAATTATATTTATTTAAGATTGTGTTATAAATTAGAAAAAAAATATTATTAACATCTTTAACAGGTTGACGTGATTTATATTAGTGTGTACTGAAATATCCAAAATGCCTTTGAGGTACATCCGATATGAAAATACTATCTTCTGAGATGGCTTTAGATTTCGAGGTAAAAGGTAACTCCAAGATAATTATGAGATGGAAGGTGGTTTCGAGATAGTTCCATGGTAGCTCCAAAGTAAAAGCATCATATTTCCAAGATATCACTTGTACGAAGACTAAGGCTAAGTTAGATTTTTCGATTCGACCTCTCCGACGCTAGCATAAAATCTCCAAACGTGGGTTAGAGTTGTTCTCCTCCGGGAGTTAAATTTTTCATTGTTTAAGATACGATTTTATATATTTGAAGGAGGGGAGAAAATTTTATGATTGTCTTCTCTTATCATCAAGGAGGAGAAATAGGTTTAGGATTCTCCATCTTGTTGTAAAGGAAAAGAACGAAATTTGTATTTTTCTTCTTTTCCATGGTAGATTTAAAAAAAAAAAAAGAAGCTTTCTCTGTGGGTCATGTGTCAACTATTGATAAAATTTTTATCAACTATGTTATACCAAAATTTGCTAGCGATGACTTACCAAATTTCTCGACCTAATATTGTGATAGAGAATTCCAAAGTCATGTTGATGAACTCCAAGTAGTCTGTCTTAACCACGGTGGACGACGGGTGAAGTCAATAACTTTAATTTCTTCTAATAGATGAAATTATTTAGAATAAAGTGTTTTTCTAATCTCTTAAAATGTGATGCAGACTCGATATAAAATATATAATCAGATCATACAACATTAATCTAAAGATATTGAGAAAATCCATCGCCTCTAAACTTAAAAAAATATAATTTTTTAAAAGAGAATAAATAATTATATTAATTTAAAACTGAATTACAAATAAGAAGCTGAGGGATCGTTGGAAAAAAGAAAGAAAAAGATGATTATGATCTATCAAAATTTCTAACAATTGTGACATATAGAGAATCCAAAACCTACGTTGATGAACTCCACATGAACACTATTGATTATAGTGGTAAAATTGATGAACGTTTTTAGTAACTTTTGAATCCTCGTAGAGTTATAGATTTTGTTATTAACGGGTTTAATGCTCGGAAAAAGTATCCTATCATGGCTTATCATCTTTAGATTTAACTAGAAAACCAATTGAGATAGAAATGATAGAAGAACTAAATGAACTAGAGAGTAGAAAACAAAGCCTACTCACCTCATCCAACGAACATGTGTTGTTGTTCCCTTTGGTTTATGCATGTCATTCTCTCCATTGCCTGATCGACTCGCTACTCTAATTGTGGCAATCAGTAATTGTGGCTGCAGCTCTCATTACCATCCATCATTGCCCCCACAATACAGTAATTATGGCCACCCTATCAATTGTTGTCACGCCACCCATGAAATT